GTATCTTGTATTTATACAATTTTTAGATAAACAAATAACAATTGTTTGTAATTAGACTTAATGAGTATACTTGATGTTAGTAATTAGACCTAAAATTTCTTGTGAATAGTGATGATGTTGTAAGTATGGGCTAAAGAACAGGAGGAGGATATAGTTGTGCTTATTCCAATTATGAAAATATCTCAAGTCAATACACGAACACGAGTTTTTTTAGATTTCCACGAGATGCTCAAAGGTAAATTTGTTGGAAGTTATTACTGAAATAGAAAAATATATTTAATTTTTCGTAATAGATGTGATTCATGGATCGAGTCGTGCAGTCGTCCTGATTTAAGTACCAAAACCCCGGATGAGTTGTACCAAAATTACAGGGTTTGTCAAAATCATTTCCCAGATTATCATTTTTTAAATGATCTAAAAAATAGGCTCCAGCCTCAAGCTTGTCCCCAAGCACCAAACAAGCCGTTGTTTGTTTCTATGCAAGTCAATCCAGTCCAGCAGTCTGCAGTACAAAAAAGTGTTATTTTTGTATTTTGTTTTCTGGGAGTCATACATTTGTCTTGAAATTAATTAGAACTTAAATCTTTTTTTGAATTGCAGATAATTGTAGTTCACCCGATCTTTCTTCAAATGATCCCAGTATATTTATCTCTGCCTTCTCTTAACAATATTAGCTAGAAAGGACAAGAAAATGTTTCTCTCCAAAGTCAATCAAACTTTGAGCCAAAACAAGTTGATCCCTTGCTGGAAACGTCTAAAGGTAACTTGTACAAATAACGAAATAAAATCACTCACAGTTCCATTACCACAACTCTGTCTTTATTAATAATTAATGTTAAAATACCGAAATAAATCCTTTTTTGTTCTTGACTTTTTACTAAGTATATAAAAATTCTCTTTTGTTTTAGATCCATATATATATCTCAAAGAATCCAATGCGATGGCCAAAAAAACAAAAACAGTTGCCATTCAGACCTCCAGACATTTGTCAATTAATACTCCTAGAAAGATCAGACTAAGGAAAGAATTGAATGCCACGAGGAAAAGATTAAAGAGAATCACACGAAAACTCGAGAAAACGTACTAGTGTTACTGGTTTGAAATCTTTCGTATTAAAGAACGCTTGGATAAATATGTTGAGTGATAATACAGTCTCTAGACAAACAGCAGAATTTATAAAGGCTGAGATGTATGTAACATAAAAAGAGACCAAAAATACTTTGTAGAATTCAAAAATGTTTACTTAAATTTAAATCACTTTCAACCAAAGGCTAACAGAAATATGCAAATACCTTTTTGCTAGTAGTAGATGTAGGGTGTAAAAATAGATTTAAGCCTGCTGGTTGTGCTATGGCTGGTATATATGTGTGGGGAAGGATTAAAAGCCCATGAAAACAACCAGTGTTATACAATTTGATTCATAGTCAATCTTTTAACAAAAAAGTAAGAGATAATTTTCTTGAACGTATCAGACGTTCAAAAACAGCTGGTCTGAATTTAGTTGCTGTTGTTTCCGACACAGATCAAATTTTGTACAATTAACTATGTCATTAGGCATCACAACTACTTACTTACTCTTCGTTTAAATTTGAGGGTCTGCAATATCTTATATCACGCATTTTATGAAATCCATGAGGAATAGTTTATTGTCGAATAAATTGTTGATCAGTGATAATTACACATCATGGGATTATATCAAAATGCTGTATAAATAAAGTAAACATTTAATAAGTTCGGCTCCTAAGCAAACAGATTCTCACGTGTGTAATATACTGTAGCCAGACTTTAGGCCTGGAGTATCTGGCCCAACCTATATGTGATTGTAAACTATGTAACTGAAGTTGTAAATAAATAGTTATCTAGACTTAATTTTTTCGAGATTTTTTTTTTTAACAAAAATAAAATAACTTGTTTCAAATAAGTGTCACAGTGTACCAGAATTAAGTTGGTGCAAAATATTGATTTATTTTTTTTATTTGCTGCAAGTTCCGTGCTGTATTTGGTTTGCAGGACTCACCATGTCAAATACCTTAGAGTACAATTGGTTAAAGCGATCATTATTGATGTCATTGCAGGTGCAGGACTTTTTCATGAAAGTATGTTTCGGTTTAAAAATGGCAACAGCTTACCTTTTCAATGTCTATGACTTGCACGCAGTTAGTAAATCGCTTTGAACGGAAAATGTAGAAAAACATTGTATTATGATAAAACACTTGATATTCATGGTATACTATCGAAAAGTTTGTACTTGATCAAAAGTATGTACAAAGTTTTTTTGCTCAAAAAGAATTGTTAATATACAACCGAAACGTTATACATAATTTTGAGATCAAGAATAAACATTTGACAGTATGCCTCAAATATCAAGTATTTTATTTTTATATGTTCACTGTCATTGTAATCAAAGTTTAAAATTTCATTACATTTACTTTGGAATTTTAATTGACATATTAGCTTTTTTTTTAAAGTTATCAACGAAAGTCATAACATTTTTTCACAATTTACCGTAAAGTATGTAAAATAAAACTGAAATTTATTGTTATAAATTATTTACCTCGTAAAAGGAATCCTTTAGTAATAATTGAATGAAAATTTGAAAAACTGCTATTAATTTTCGTCAATGATAAAAAAAAAGGATAAGTACGTAGAAATCGTGCCAGGCAGATAGCGTAAGTGCACTTACCCTTTTTTTACGTTGGAAAGTTGATGAGCACCGCCTTAGATTCCAAAGTAGAAAAAGGGTAAGCCAATCAACTTTAATAATTTTCTTATTCACTTCAATTGACTATTATATACATTTTTCTTGATGTAAATTTATTGATTTTATCAGACATTTTTATTGTACAAGTAGATTGATTAAAAGTAATTTAAAATGTTAATTTAAATTTATATTCACAATTATCAATTTCTACTATTTAAGTCTACTAATCACACTGACACCAATATAAGATAAAAAATTTTTCTACCATTAAATACGATGAAAACAGAAATTAGCAAAAAGTATTCAACATCACAATAATCGAGATTAAACTAAATGTTTGAACAAATTCTATTTTAGCTCTTTTGGCAGATAATAGCTTCCAGGTCCCAAAAGCCTAAGTAAAAATTTAAACCATTTATATTATTTAATAATTTCTTCAACTTTGCCATTAAAAAAACGGGCTTAAAATTATTCCTAATGACTCTGGACAAAGTAATGGAATCGTAGATACAAAAACATGTTGGGAAAATATTTTTTTTTTACCATTGATTTCAATAGATTATTTGAATCACCTAAGCCATTTTTTTTATTAAAAAAATAGGTAGTTAACTGCAATGTGTGTGGATAGAGTGTAAATTTTTGTGCATTTTTTAGTTAAAAGAGAAAAAAAATGATCCTTAATTATTCGTTAAATTAAATACCAATCCCGCTTAAGTTTACATCCATTTTATAATATATTATTGCAAATAATACTTTTTAAACATTTTGAGCCATTTCTTTTTTTTTCTGACATATTTAATAAGATAAATTCATTTTTTTTTTTCTTTGAAAGCAATTTATTAATAAATAAGCTCACGTGTGTTAATACTATGTCAATACTGCAATGTATCAATTTTTTTGACAAATATAAAAGGGGATGAAAAAAAAAAAATTGACACATAAGGCCAAAAATGCACTGGAGAGGAGATGTTTCGAAAAATGAAAAAAAACAGTCAATTTTTTAAAAATCGATAAATTAAATAATATTACCGCAATAACTCAGATTGTGTGTAACAATCAGCACATTTTTTAAACTATTAATAATTGTTTATAAATGCGTCACAACGAAAATATTCATTATCAGGGAAGAAGAGCCTCGTTGTTTATAACGGCAGAAAAACAGAAATGATTCTTATCTTTGATGAGAAGAAATTGGCAGGAAAGAAATTTTATCATTGTGATGTTATCATGTTATTCAAAATATTAAAAAAACTCTGTTAACGTTGTTTACGCACATTTTGTACGGTACATAATGTAGGCAGAATATAAGGATGCGGGATACTAAAAAATTTTGTTAAAATCTAAGAGGATTATAAGATTACCATTTTTCTACTACTGAAAATGAAATTTTCTACTATTTCAAAAGATTTGAACTTTCCTTGTCGTCATGTACAGCGAATTTAACGATAAACGTTAAATTCAACTTATACTTGAGTATTCCAGAAAGTTCTAGAAAGACGTAGTTAAAAGTTGACGCATTCTTCGATTGCGTTATGATACAACATGAAATATACCACACGGCTCTAAGGCTTAATGCCGTGTTTTAGGCTCGTCCACATGATTTGAGGCTCCCTTGACAATAACCAAAAATATTTGCCTCATGTATCAGAATATAAACTGCGTTTAAATCAACTTCATGATTTTTATTGATCATTAATGATAAATACAAGTTTGGCCTTAAATTAAAATACATATATTTTTTAACATTGATTTGGCCTAGTGTTTTGCCAACAGCTAATAATACATGTCCATCTCATTTATTATAAAATTATTTTCATTATTTTTGATGTGTAGATTAATAAGACAGTCACTGTATCGGTTGACTAAAACAAGAAGATTATTTAATGTTTTATCTGATCGTTAAAAATTATTTAAAGTAACGAAATTTACATCCATAGAGTTAGGCAAATTGTTTCAAGAATCAAATTACAACTTTACAAGAAAATATCCTAAAAATTATAAATTGTTTTTGAATGAATAAAATTAACAAAATTTTTCAAAGCAGTGTTGATAGATATATTCAGGAAAAAAAATAAAAGTTATTTTGTCTCCCTTAAAGCACAAGAAAAACAGATAGTAATTACGTTCCTGAGTATGTACAAAAGGAACTGTATCCCTACAGAGAGGGAGAGAGTTGCACACGGTACTACAGTATGTACTTATAGCTATCGTAATGCAAGAAGCACACGCCACCAGCACTTTTTGCACACGAACGTATATCCCAGCTGTGGATAAATTCGAAAGCTCCGCGCTGGTACTGGCAGAATCGGCCCCAATAGAGCAACGAAGAAATCTTACTTACCTACGAGGAGTTAGAATTCCGCCGATTACCAACTACCATGGCTGACAGTGAGTTTTCCTTTTTTTTAATTTTTAAATTGTGTATTCATTGAAATATTCAGTGTTATAGAAGAATTTTTCGATTTTAATTATACGCTAATCACTATAATAGTGGTATAGCTGAAAAAAAAAAATTTAAACAATCTCATTTTAATTTTTGTAAAATTGCTATCTTTCGAATCAAGCGGTTGTTTTGCACACGGTACTAAAATAATGAGTTGTACACACATAACGTATCTATGTACACATACTTACTTATCCAGGGAATGCTACTTTAGGAGAAAGAATTTCTTGTAGTTGATGAACGTTCCATTAACAGAAATTCATGACTTTGAATTTACGTGAAATAAGTATTCGTTGACAGTTTAGATGCCGTTGGTTATAGTTAATGAACATGTATTTGATGTCATAATCAATTTTTTTTTTGTAAATGTTAATACTTGATTCACTAACTAGTAACGATTGAGTACATAATTTAAATCTACATTTGTTAATAGTTAATGACTGTGATATAAATACAAGGAATGTTCTTCAAACGGTATAATGATTTGATGTTATGCTATTTTACAAACTCACAGAAGCAGAATAGTATTATACGGTTTATTTGTTCATAACGCACGTTGTTTAACTCCATAATAAATAAATATATTACATCAAAAAAACTTAAGCAGTTACTTAAATAGCAATATCCACTTCAACTTTTACCGACGCAATACTTAAGATATTTGAGAGTTAAATAAAATAGTATATTACGTCACAAGGCGCTCAGCGCGACAACGCCAACTTTTAATGATATATACTTCTAACAATTATTTAATCGGAATGTTCTGATTAAATTTCAGTGTCTCAATTTAATTAAACAGATACTTTTAATTTTTATTTAACATACGAAATACAAGCTTTTTTCCAAATTATACTTTTGAATTTCCTTACTTAGAATAATCCTAAGACAATCACGTATCAAATAAAAGGTTTAAGTCATAAGTGACATTTTTCGTTTTAAGAAAGAAATAAGTAAATTTTTATGGCAAAGAGGTTGAGCTAGCTCATGGCTAGTGGCTGCCTGTCTTATAGATTTTTGTGTTACTTATAAGTCATGTTAATTTTGGATACTTACTACTAGATGGGCCACCTTTCGAGAGCAAAGAACATTACTTAGGTGTAACACTGCCATTCATTAATCCATATTATGGCACCTATGTAAACTAAATGTTGCCAAATAAAAATTACATTCAATTCAATACATTAATTAAGTCTGTAGCAATTAATTATTCACTGCGAGCAAGTCACCAGAACAAACACCAAGTCCCAGGGACTCTTTATTCTTGCCTTGGTTAGATGCAAACTCTACTCTTCGTATTAAGGGTGTAGTAAATGTTCAATGGTAGAGAAACGCCCAAAGTAGGAAAATATATTAACAAATTTAACATAAGAGTTGAAATTTTCGTTGAATATAAAAAAGATAGAATGATTTAGACTCATCTAAGAGCTAAAAATAAAACCCTATTGAAGATTTATATATACAGTAGTATTTAAAATTCGATGAAATTTTAGCGCAGTACTTAATTATTCAGAAAGTACATGGATGTAGTATTGCAGAATTAAAAATAAGGTTGTATTAAAAAATTTATGTTCTTGCATCAATAGTTAGTCGATATATAATATCAGTTATAAATAAAATTCAACATAATTAATCATTATGTACTTTCAATACTATTATAAAACAGATCATTCATATAAGAAAACATTATAATTTTCTTATATTTCAGAAAAAGAGAGCTGTGGTTGCTGTTTGACTACCAAAAAAAAATGTGACTGCACTGCAAATTCACAAGACTGCAAATGCTGCGATTCATCCCACGGTACATACATACATAATAACATATGCATAGTGAATCGTAGGAATTATCTACTTTACTTTCTCTTATACTTGCCCTTACAACCTTTAGATCGATAAATCATACATACAAAAAAAGTGCAACTCACATTTTAATTTATTTCATTACTTTTTGTATTCATTGTATGGGTAATTTTTTTTTAACTAGATAAGTCCACTGCTTGCAAGTGTGGGTCTGACTGCAAGTGCTGCAGCGATTTCAAGTCCAAGGCCAGTGATTCGGGGAAGTCTAGCTGCTGCTGCACCAAATCCGGGAAGTGCATGTGCTGTCCCGATTGTGGAGGTTCGTGAGAATGAATGTGAATGAGCTTGATATCAGAAATTTTCATTACACGCATAATTGATTTACAAACATTTATTCTAGAAAAATTCACTGCTTGCAAGTGTGGGTCTGGCTGCAAGTGCTGCGGCGATTGCAAGTCTAAGGCCGGTGATTTGGGGAAGTCCAGCTGCTGCTGCACCAAATCCGGGGATTGCGAGTGCTGCCCTGCTCGTGGAGGTTCGTGAGAATAAACGTGTATGAGCTTGATGTCAGAAATATCCATTAAACGCATAATTAATTTTTAAATATTTGTTTCCAGAAAAATCCACTGCTTGTAACTGTGGGTCTGACTACAAGTCTAAGACCGGTGCTTCGAAGAAGTCCAGTTGCTGCTGCACCAAATTCGGAGATTGCAAGTCCTGCCCTGCTTTTAAAGGTAAGTGTGCGTTTTCCTACAAGAATTTAACATTAGAGATTTTCATCATATACGTTATGAATACGTGCTTTTAATTGCAGCTTCCAAAGGGATTTGTACTTAGGATGGCCCGAATGACGCAATCGTTCTAACTACTTATGTAATACGCTCATACTGTAATTGATATTGGTGTTTTGGTTTCTTTTATTTTGTACTATAATCTTATGTATTACATTGGAGTAAATAAGACTATTAAGAATGCAATAAAATAATTCTTGATAATTCAATCTTTTTCAAATATTTTCATGCAGATGATTGAGGGTAGTACGTCTGTTAATATACGGTGGTTGACAAATAAATGCAGACTATCTCAACCTCTTTTACAAGGGTGGCTTATTATGCCTATATACATAATACACTACATAATAGCTAAAATTTTATACAAGTAATTCTCTTATTTCTTGATTTACTTGTTATTTATTGACAGTTTTATAATCGACACCCACGTATGCATAATTAACATCACTACTGACTACGATTAGATTTTAGGTAGAATCGCGAACGCTGAAGCTTGGTACCAAATTTTTCAGCATGAAACATTGGATCTAATGCAAACAGTTCTATTTTAATTCAGTACAGTTTTTTTTTTTCATTTGGTGATTTATACAACCGGTATTTTTCACAAGACATTGGTATACTTTATAAAGGACGAACTATTTTAGAGAGATTACTGCATTATCATCATTACAAAGTCAAAATTACTTCTATACTAGCCAGGCAAGGTTATTTATTTAGCTTATCAGATGTACCTTACAGGTAAATACCTGCCCAGACAAAACGTGTTATTTATCTGATAAGCTTCGTTACTCTTGTTTTTTTGCGGATCTTCTGTCAAATTTTTTTCTCTTGGATAAGTTTTTTCCAATACACTACCAAACGAAAATAGAATAGTAATTAATTGTAAAATAGAACCGTTTCCATTAGTAGTAAAGAGTTTTATTAAAGAAACACAAAATTTGGTTTTTATTAGAGTAAATTATTGAGTACTCAACTGACTAATCGCAAGTCATGAATTGTTTAAAAAAAATGTTTTCAGCGAAATTCCATGAGATTCAACAAGAGGTTCAAAACTTAAAAATCCCACTGGTCAAAATTTTAATTTTACAAAGTATTTTTTATGGATAGATTGATTTCGTATGTACAACAGTATTTTATGTATTTCTTTGTTTAAATCATTCAAGACTTGAGAGGCTGCATAGATTTAGATCTTTGTTTTAAATTTAGTTTTAATTTTCTTATTGTTACAACCCACATACTCCACATAAATAATTTCTTTCTTAGTTAAATTCACTTTATCTACAACATACTATTACTTTTTTTCACTTATTACTATGACACGAAATAAAGTTGATTGAAATGTTGAGATATCTTTGCTGACTAAAGTTTAGGAAATGTCTGTGGCCGAAGCGTTTCATGATGTCTTTATTTTATTAAGTCAATGTAAAATATATTAACTTGTATCGTGATTGAAAAGTAACAGTAGATATCATAAGTCACGGAAAAAGTATTATGATTTGGAGGATTTTTTAAATATTGTAGAAAAAAAAGTACGTATTTGATTAATTTAAGGATTGGTAATCAGATCAAGTGAGCACTGAAGCTGTACTGCTACGCCTCAGATATGCTGGACGAGCGAGCCAGGTACTGGAACTTCCAGTAAAATCGAAGTTAAGCTGAGATATATCTTTTCGCGAATTTAGAAGTTTTTTCTGATCCGACGTTTTGAAAGCACTGAAAAGTAATTTGGAATTTAGAACTATGCCAAGTAGAGCACATTCATCTCGAAGGGGCAAAGTAATAGTTATTTACGTAACAAGTGCGGAAAAGACGATTTCCCGCACGAGTAGTGATTGACTCACACGAGTGCCGGAGTAGACGGGAACGAGTGCCAGTTGAGCACACGAGTGCGTAGCACGAGTGTGATCGCAAGGTACGAGTTACCGTCACCGGCCACGAGTGTGAGTCTATCACACGAGTGCGGGAAATCGTCCCGCACGAGTTGCGTACAAGTTTTTTCGCAATGTGTGAGGAAAATAGGTACAAAATAGGTTTGAATTTTGATTTCCAGTGTGTAGCAAAATTTTTTCCGGTGTGTGGCAAAACCTTTTCCACACACCTTTTCCGCACATTGTGCGGAAAAACCTTTGCCGCATACTATGTGGGAAAATCGATTTTCCACACTAATACCAGTGCGGAAAACACCCATTTTCCGCACACTATTGCGAAAAAAAAAATATAAGCCGTTCATAGAGAAGCAAAGCAGTACTGTTACATAAAGTTGTCTTAATATGGAAGCATAACATCAATTTCTTTCCTAAACGTATCAATTTAAGAATCATGTTCAGTTAAGCCCATATTGCAATTACAGTACCTGTGATATTCTATGTGCTACATTTAATTCCTTTGCATATTTTAATTTTCTTGAACTATGCTGTGCTACATAATTTATAGAAATTACAGACACGTTTATCAGAGAACTCTATTTTATTTCTGAACTATAGAAAACGTATTTATATCACGTTTATCTCAACAAGTGATTTTTCGTTTATCACAAAGCTTCCTCTATGAGAAAGCAATCAGTTATTGCCCTCAATGTCATACATCGGGTAGCTTGAGTTTAATAAAAATTTTTAATACCAATGAAAAACTTGTGATTTCTTTTAGTTTTGTGACTGAATAACGAGTATATTTGGAAATATAGTGTATTGTTTTTGATTACAGTGTAATGGGTTTTCGTATGAACCGACTCACTTGTAAAATTAAATCTCTGGTAAAGGAGCTTAAAATTTCTGGAGCAGATAAATGTTTGAAGTATTTTGACTAAAAATTTTTCAATGATACATAGAGTGTTGAATCAAATGCTTCAAAGAACTTGAAAGACGTTTGTTCATGAAAAATTATTTTTTATTGTCTGATATATAGCAACTACAAGAGTAAGCCTTTTATAAGGATTAAATTAAGCTCTATTATCAATATCCTACATCCCATGACTTAGCTAAGAATAATTTAAAATGTGCTTCTGCCGACAACAGATGTTTTGAAAGCTGCACTCAGAAAAATCCGGATGCTGCTCATTACTTAGACTTCACAGATTTTGAGCAGCAGTCAGATTTCTTTGGAGCGGTGGACTTTGATTGACTGCAACAGCTACAGCACTCGCAGTCAGACCCACACTTGCAGACAGTAGATTTATCTGGACGAAAAAAAAAAATCATACGTTAATCTTTGTAATGACATTTCATATGCTGAAATGATTTTTAATTCACTAATACAAACCTCCACAAGCAGGGCAGCACTTGCAATCTCCGGATTTGGCGCAGCAGCAGCTGGCCCTCCCCGAATCACCGGCCTTGGACTTGCAATCGCCGCAGCACTTGCAGTCAACACCACACTTGCAGGTGGCCGATTTATCTGAAAAAGTACATGTTTAAGTCATGAACTCACGGATCGATGGAGGGTACCAAAAATATTAAAATTCAGTCGTCAGTATTACCTTTGCAAGCTGCGCAGCACTTGCAAGTTTCGGTGCAGTTGCAAGCCTTTTTTGAAGCTGATCCAGCCTCGGACTTACTACAACTGTCGCAGCACTTGCAATCACCTCCACATTTGCATGCTTGAGTCTTATCTGTAATGCAAAAAACGAAGATTTTGTCCACTTATCTCTTGTATACTTTTTCCTTTATTATTGGGATAAACTGGAAATAGGAAAATTTCATATGCTATACCGTGGCATGAATCGCAGCATTTGCAGTCTTGTTGCTGTGCAGTGCAGTCACACTTCTCAGTGGTTGAGCAGCAGCTTGTCTTGCCTAGAAAAACAAAAATTAAAAAACTTTTATCTTGAAAAATATTTATATAACAGGTGTAAAAAACTATTTCCGTTCTTTGCCGTAAGCAAAATATATTTAGTATTCGTGATTATGTGAGTTTCCGCTATACTTTTATTGTCAGTCATAAAATTATCATAGATGTTAATGTTACGTGAGATAACGATGTATCTTGCACATAACACACGAAGCATAAAATATCTTCTTGTCTTCCTGTAATATGATCTTGAAATTACAACAGTGTCATTCAAACGTTCAAATTCTTATCTATCATCTTATTTCATCATTTTTGAAGTATTTGTTGTACGAATATCACTCACGACAGAGAGCGTGAAATTTTATTCAATATTTAAAAAATTGTCAAGTATGATGTCAATAAAAGACTCAAAGTATTAAAAACAAATTTAAAATAATTGAAGATAATTGAGTGCATAAATAGTATTGTTGTAATATAGATGAATCGTTTTCTTTGCAAATAATCAACAAAACTGGTTCGAATTACGGTACTAACGTTAATTTATTCAAGAATAGCTAGTAAAAGGCTATTGTATTGCTCCAAGAACGTCGGAAATTCCAATCATTGAATGCAGTATCATAATAATCATGGTATTCCCCGAAGCGTAGATATGTGTGCGTCCGCTCGCAACATACGCACGTATATTTATTTTAGTATCGCGTGCAGAACAAGCGCCAAAGTTTAAAAGTACGAATAATTTGTAATTGTGTGGACAGAATCAATGCAAGAGAATATGTATGTAGAATCATTGAAACGAATTGAAACTTTAAAACTGTTGAGCTTTCCAATATGGTATCGCGATGAAACTATCCCACAATTTTCATGCAATCAGTTCCAACATATGATTTAAAAAAGTGTGTAATGAAAATAAGAAAAAATTATTCATTTAAATCAAAAAGTGCAATAAAAACACTTTGAAATACTTTGTAAATCAAGAAAATTTTTCAATTTTAAATAACACAATTATGACGCAAATAAATTTTTTTGAAGCAATTAAAGTATAATATGTTACTCACAGTCAGACATTGTAGTCCCAGAAAATTGGATGCTTTGTAGGTAAATAAGATTCCTCCGTTGCTCTACTGGAGCCGATTCTGCCAGTACCAGCGTTGAGCATCCGAATTTATCCACGGCTGGGATATACGTTCGTGTGCAAAAAGTGCTGGTGGCGTGTGTATCTCGCCTGGAGCAAGCTACTGTGGTACCGTGTGCATTGCTCTACGTCCTCTCTGGGCAGGGATGGTTCCTTTTGTACACAGCCAGGGGCGTAACTACCTGTTTTTTCTCTATTGATTTTAATGTACTCAACCCTCTTTCGAAACACTTTGATTTCATTTTTTGTAAATTCAAAGACGTGAGTCGTAGTAATCCACCATCGTCGTTTTTGCTTACAGGCACTTTTGCGTTGCTTCAGATAATTTTTTTTATATTTGATGGACCACTATACGGATCACTACTCCGTTTATTATATTTTTTTTTTTTCTTTATGTACGCTTCAATTATTATACATGGATTTTGGTAATTAATTAAGTTGGATATACATATTCGTGTGAGGGCAGCGAAGATGATTAAATATCTAGATATTTATTGATTCCGAAGCAAGATTGAATTTGTATTAATTTTTTAAAATCCATACATCATCAAATCAGAATAGATGTATTTTATTACTGAAAAGGTTCATAAAAATTTGCTCTGTTGTCAAGGGAGTGATAAATTGCGTATACGAGCCTGGACGGCTGTGCTTGGCAGTAGGGACGCGTGGTATACGTTACATCACTGTGTACTTATACGATAACGCGAATGAGCCACCGTTGAACTACGCTTTTACAGAAACTTCTCGAATTTATTAACTAATAAAAATTTCATGAAGTTTCTATGGGTAGGTAGTATTTAAATGTTTTATTCATATGCTTAAATTAAAAGTTTTACGTACTCGTATTACAAGAATCCTAAAATATATAAAAATTTAAGTAACTGAAACAAAATTGATACTCTTAAAATTTTTGATTAAGTCTATAGTTATACGTTTGAAATAGTATCTCATGATTTATGTATTAGGATGTAACATCTTGGCTATTAATATTCATTTCAAGAGAGTTGCATCAGTGACGTCGATGGAATTTCCTTTTATTCTTTGAATTACATCACAATGATAACGTTTCTATTCATCGAATCCCCTCTCTCAGATCATGAGAGTTTCTGGTTTTCCTATTGAATTACGAAGAAATTTGACTGTTCGTCGTTTCTCGAGTAGTACACATACTTCTGTTTCTTCAACGGAGTGGTGATGATATCAGCTTACATACGCATCGGAATGACTCGGAAAAGTGTTCGGAAGATTACGTATAAGCGAAGCTTTTGTATTGAAAATTTTGTCTAAAAATGTGATGTAAAAAATCGAAATAGAGTAAAACGATTTTTCGGAAATTTTGAAACGAATTCAGACGATTAAATTGCTAGAAAGGCACTTTATGGAGAAACTTACTTTACAAAAAAGTTTCATTTCAAAATAAGCTCTACAACTTTTGTACTACATATTTTATTGTAAAATCTGAATTTATTTCCATAACAGGCCAAAAACGTTTTTTTCATTGTTTTCGTATCATAAGAAAAAAGAGGAATTGACGCATATTCTTGACATTTATAGGAATAATTCAAGTCCAGACTTGGTGAGATTCATTGAGAATTGGATGAGAAAGACGTAAAATCAGATGTCAAACAAACGATACATGATCTGATTTTTTGCCTTTTCTTTCTTAGACTGCAATGGGTTGTACTAAAATTAATGTTGAATTGTTCTATGATGAGCAAAAAAAATGAATTACAGCAAGTAAAAGCAATTAATCATAAAGATAGGAAGCTGATTCATCTAATGCCAACTAATAACAATCTCTCTCTCTCTCCTTCTCTTACTCTGACGTAAGCTTTAGGAGGTAAAGGGGTAAGCATCGTACGTTGAGTATATTGGTGGTGATTCAGTTAGGATATTAAAAAAAGTATTTGGACATTGATTAAGAAATTTTTTGATATTTCCTTTTCTATAAGGACATTTACTAAGCTGATCTCGAACAATAAGCTTGTAATAATCGGTTTTCCTCGAAAAAGTAAAAATAAATTTCTGTTATTAAGCATTTCTTTTTGCCCATTCTTACTCCATTGATACCAATGGTAAGACTTTTGCTCGAAAGCTTTATTAAATAAACAATAAATTACAACCCACATATTGCTTTACGCACTGCACTCAGATTTGTATTATAACAGGTAACTTAATATCTGTGAAATAAGGTATTTAAAAAAATTTTTTTCTTTTGCGGTAAATCTAAGTAAGCATTTTTTAAAAGTTTTGTATCCTTTGTGTTTCGTACTATACCTTACGACGGAATAAATCTAATCATATCCACCTTTCACGTCATTTCCATTTCGGTTCCGTAGCTATTTTACTATTTGGAATTTTATTCCTTCTTTGTTTAATGACAACAGCATCCGAGATCTCACGTTGAATGAACAGTAATAACTACAGTCTTTATGTAATCTACATTTTTTAGTTTTAACTTTTACAATCTTTACTTCGACCTTTTATGTATTATGTACCTTTTATGTAACTTTTATGTACCTTCATGTATTATGCGGCACCCATCTGATTGCCTAGCCTCTGATTCTCACTTTCGCATGAAACAACAAAAGCATTAGTAATAATCTAGGGATAAATTTGAACTGAATACTGAATCATGATTGTACAGCTTAAAACTTGGGAAAAAAAAGTTAATTTGTCACAAGCAGACAACTTTATAAATAATTTAAAATTTTGATCTGAAAAATCTTATAAGTTTTCTAAAAATACGTTTATTTGTCATTGGATTCGACAAACATTAGTAATTACTCGTAAAATATGTTTCTAAACAAAAAATAAAATACCTAATCCGGAAATTACTACCTAATCTGGAAATTTATAGTTCTCAGATCAATATATTAAAAACGATATGGAAAAAAGCTCTCAGTGAGGGTCACTTCTAACACGGTGACAAAGATCCGTATCTCCTTGTGACACACATTGCGCATTGTATATGAAGGCTCCTCCAATTACCAATGTTGACCAAATTGTGTTGCCATAGGTAACAGAGGATTGCGTGATTTAAAGTAAGTACCCGTAAGATCAGAGTTCTATGATAAATGGTTCGTAAAATAACGTTACTTTTTGAAAAATTTAAGGAAAAGTTATTCATTGTTGAAAACAACTGTTGAAAAAATTTAATGAAACTCCAGATTCGTTAAAGGTCAAAAAATTAAAATAGTCATTTGAAATACTTTCATACATAAATAATTGTGCAATAGATAAAACATTAACGTTTTATAACATTCAGAAATTATATAAACTTATAGATACCTACTCTCTTCAACTGAATTAGTAAAATTTGATTGATTGGTCGTACATTTTCACTAAAAAAGTGGTTAAAACTAGGTCTTTAAGAACTATGGTCTGATAACTGAAAAAATTAGTGCAAATCTAAATTTTAATGATAAATTAATCAAGTACTCCTGAAATATTAATAACTGTTTGTTGAAAAATCTGTGATTAGATTAATTAGATTAATTATTTTTGCTTTTCAAAAATTTCAGTTTGATATACTTTACTTTAAATAATGATTGTCAAAAAAAAAAAAAAAATCGTAGGCAGCATGTGCTTTATCCGTAAATGTAGGAAGTTTTAGTGATCCTTTTGAAATACAGGGTGTGGCTCATTTTTTTGAGCATATGAAATTCATGGGTTCCGAAAAATATCCCTAGGTAATTTATGCTCAACAGAGTACGTACACAACAGTATAAAATAAAACTCCCTGTCTTGATATGAAAACGACTTTAACCAATTCGTAACAAAAAGAGGTGGAATGGATAATGCTTCTACAAACTGTGAGCAAACAATATTTAATTTCGAAATACAAGAAAAGTATTTGCTTCCTGCCATGGACCGTTTTGCTCAATTTTTCATAAGCCCTCTCATGAAAAGAAATGCCATCGCTCGAGAAAGAGAAGCTATTGAGAGTGGTTAGTTATCAAGTCATCCATGTGAGGAGTTAGGATTATGTTTTTGATGTAATCTTTCATGTTTTGTTGATTTTTTTCAGAATTCCAGATGGCCTTAGTGTCAGATTCTTGCAGAAAAAACCAATTGTTGTGCAGCTGTGTAAAAAATAATCACCCTGCAATGAAATTTTCTTGGGGAAATCTAACAACGCTGCGAGATAATCTAGAAGAAGAAGTGCTGTATTCAGAACTACATAAGTTTATAGATAGACATTACAGTGCTCACCGAATGACTTTGGCTGTTAAAGTTTGTTTATTATTATTATTTTTTTTTTAATAGAATTAGAAAACTATTCAAATACTTTCACTGCTTTAAACTTCACATAAATTATTGTGTTGTATGTGTAGGCTGAATTATCGTTGGAGAAATTGGAAAAATATATCATCGATTGCTTTTCTATGTTGCCCGTCAATCATTTGCCAGCTGATGATTTTTCCCAATTCAAAGAAAATGATTCTTTCGATAAGATGGATTTTTGTAAAATTTACAAAATTAAGCCAATTCAAGATACTCGCCACGTAATTATACAAATCCAAATCAATGTAGTTTTTTTGTAGTAAGAAACCAATAACAGGTGTTATTATTTTCTAAGGTTCAAATGACGTGGGTGATGCATCCATTACATCATTTGTACAAAAGTAAACCACATCAAATTTTTGCATGGATTATTGGGCATGAAGGGGAGGGATCACTGTTAAACTATCTTCGCAAAAAATTTTGGTGCATTTACATTTTAAGTGGTAACAGCGAAAGCGACTTGGAGCACAATTTAATGTATGCTCTGTTCAGTATAACTTTAATATTAACTGATGAAGGTTGTGAGCACTTAAAAGAAGTATTGGAAGCTGTATTTTCGTACATCAATCTTTTACGTCAAGTGGAATCTAATAAGAGAATATTTGACAAGATTAAACAAGTACATGACATACATCTCAGGTATTTATATAATTTAATTAATGTTTAAATGTAACTTCTACAACAGATACATAACAAGACCATTCGTGTAGAAATATATTGATAAAAATTTAAACCACATCAGCATTCATAGGTGTATTAAATGATAATATTTGTATTAACCAAATTATTTTTAATACCACAGATTTTAAATTAATCGCATTATTATTATATGCTTCGAAAAATGCTTTTAGATTTATGAGTGAACCCGACCCTACAATGTACGTCAAATATTTGTGTCAAGCCATGCATCAATATCCGTCAACAGACTATATAAGTGGTAGAATTTGATATTCCAACTTTGACCCCGAATCTTTGAAACAATGTATCGAAGCATTGAGTCCAGAGAATGTTAATATTATGATTGTAGACCAGAAATTCAATGAAAATACGTTCGACAAAGTGGAGCCTTGGTTTCAGACGAAGTATTCCTGTGAAAAAATTCCAGAAGAATGGGTTTCTTGTTGGACTGACATTGAACCGTTTATAGAATTTTATTTACCTGAACCCAACGAATTCATTACAGATGACTTTAATTTGATAGATTTGCCAACTGACGTACCAAGTTACCCCACAAAAATTCATCATGATGAAAAAATTGAAGTCTGGTACAGAATGGACCCGAAATTTCGTCTCCCATCGTGTTATATTTACCTCTTGTTTAAGACTCCTTTTGCAACAGAAAGTCCGAAATCGTAAGTTATAACATATACCAGGCTTACGTTTCTCTGATTATCCTTTTTTTTATGTATTTACAATTTTTAATAAAATCAGCTCTGTCATGCTGGACATATATCTATCCGTGTTAAACCACTTGGTTGTACCAATCTGGTATTGATTCTATCCATCTGTCTGTAATAATTGAGCTTCTAATGGTAAGTCGATTATGAATTTCTTTTAAATCTATTAGGAAAAATTTCTTCTGTACCTAGGAAAAAATGTAACGATTTCATTAATTAATAAAATATTTTGAAATCAGCTGATTATAGAAGAGCCTCTTTTCAATATTCTTAGAACTCAAGAGCAATTAGGCTACAGTGTATTTTGCGCAATGAGAGATACGTACGATGTTATTGGTTTTTCAATAACAGTTTGCACTCAAGCAAACAAATTTTCCACAGATTACATTGATGAAAGAATATAAAATTTTATTCAGGTCATGGTTGAGACTCTTAAAAATATGTCTGAAGTATAGTTCGATAGTTATAAGAAGTCGCTTGTTGATTCCAAGAAATGTATAGAAATCAATATTGGAGAAGAGATCTCCAGAAATTAGTCTGAAATAACTAACAACAAGTATATTTTTGACAGACTGGACAAGGAAATTAGTGCAATTATTTCCATCAAAAAAAGCGAATTAATGCTTTGGTTTACAGATCATTCACGTACAGGAAATAATTTTAGGAAGCTAAGTGTTCACGTAGTTGGAGCTGCTGATACATTAGATGATGGAAAGACTATGGGTATGTGTCTCTGTGTTCTAATATTTTTCGTAACTTAATCATTTTTAAAAGATATAAAATTAGTATAATTATTTTAAGAAAATTATGATGATGAAAATAAAGATATAAAACAATATCGTTTAGAGTTTCTTACTTGCGAGGACTGTAAAGAAAAAAAGTACCTGGACTCATGTATAACGGATATCGATGTTTTCAAAAGTACACTCAAACTGTTGAATAAATACCCGTAAACAATGAGTTTATCTACGAAATAAAACTTATGAATGTACATTTGTGGCGTCTCACATCTCTCGTGCTTCAGACTCTACTCGCCAGGTTGCCAAGCCCAGTATAGTTCGTCATCATAATAGCAGGGAGCACGTCATCAGCCTTACTGATGAGTCCTGGCGTGCTCTCGGGACGAAACACCTTTTTCTCTCTCTAGTAGATGACAACGATCGCAAAAGTGGTGACCCCGACAACGAACAAGCAAAACGCAACCTTCTGATACTCTCACGCATCTCCGCATCCTCCACGCCGGGTACACGCTAACGCAGCTAATCCCACACACTTCGCTCAACGACGCACATAGTTCCGCACATCGCACAACTCGTGCACGCACCGGCAACACGCCCCGCATCTCTCGCAACGGAGCGTGGAAGACCCGGAGATCCAACGAGACTTCTCAACATCTTTCTCCCTCTCATGCCTTCACACCCTCGACACTCATATCGTCACTTCCTCCCGTCGTGACTGGGCGGGGAGTGATGTGGCGTCTCACATCTCTCGTGCTTCGGACTCTACTCGCCAGGTGGCCAAGCCCCTAATAGTTCGCTCCCGTCAAGCGGTGAAATTCCCGCACGATTAGTATATTTAAAGCGCGATCGAGTCAATCTGAGCCCACACCTCTCCTGTGTCTAAGGCAGGGAGCACGTCATCAGCCTTACTGATGAGTCCTGGCGTGCTCTCGGGACGAAACACCTTTATCTCTTTCTAGTAGATGACAACGATCGCTACACATTTATATACCTGCTTTTCAATTGATGTGATTTATGATGACAGAAAAGTGAATTTCATTGTATTTCTGGTACAAGCAAACTATAAACTGTTCCTTAGTCATCAGTTTACAGTTTTTTTAAATAACAAATTAATTCTTATTGATTGTTACTGTAATCATTATCTTGTATTTGTTGAATATTATGAATGCATTAAAAATACTAAATGGCACGAAAGAGTAAGAATATTCAAATTGAGATGTGTATTTTTACAGAACATTTCACATGAGTAAACTTATCCCAGAATTTCTTATTTCTTAATTAATATAATACTTTTAAATATTTAATACATTATTTCCTAATCATCAGTGCATGCAATATTCATGTGGAAGTGTTTTACGAAAAGCAAATTGTAGAATGAACGAAATATTTTCAGAGAAGTAAAGGAAAATATTGTACGCACGATATTGGAGGAAATATCGACTTTTGCTTCCTATTAAGCTTTGATGTATGAAATATTAGTTGTTATGTGCACGTGAGAAATCGATAAAATAAATAATATATTACTATTGATTTCAGGAAGTTAGCATAAAGTTGTATACTCGGTTGTATACTCATATGAATCGTCGTTTTATTTGAAAAATTAAAATAATTATTGAGGATTTTGCTACTCAATGTGGTTCCTGCAGGACTCGATGAAGTTTAACGATGTAGAAAATAGGAAATTGTTAAATTGTATATAAAAGACTTTTAGACGTATGACTAACTATAAATTTTTTTTGTCAGATTTTCAAAAATATGAATAATTGATAATACCTTCACTATTTTTGTTTTTACGTTGTAAAAATAAAAAAATGCAATTTCTTATTCTAACTGATATTGTATAATATCAATAAATAAAATATTTTGAAGAATTCATCCGCACCTTCGTGTCATTTATAAAAATAAATAATTGATGGTCACATAATGCCATAGAAAATAATACTTTAATGAAGTAATATATCTTCTCATTTTCTTGTAATGCAGAATAAAACGGCTGTTTAGCATACCTTGTTCATACATACATATCGTAATAAATTATGACGAAGTCACAACAGAGTTAGTCAGCTCCTTATCTTAACAACGCTCTTTACTTTTAAAAATTTATAACCACACCAACTAAACTCATCAGAATCTATCTACTTAATTATTGAAAGGGTCATAATTTACAATAGTAGACGAGTTAATTTCCAAAACCGTACAAATAATTGGTCTCATCTTTGAAAGCAGCTCTATATTCTTCACTCTCACTGTTATTATACCGATGAACTGTTACATAGTCCAATTTGATTTATTACTTTTTAAAAATGCTATGTTCAAGAACCACCTCTAAAACCTTGTATGTACATCCTCATAGCAATGTATGTTCAACTATAAATTTGATGTCGTTGCAAATGATAAAAATGATTTTTCATGAGTTGGTAAAGACACTTTAAAGATATCACCTTTGAGAACATAAGAACTCAAAATTTTTCAGAAATTGTAAGAAAATTAATTTTGGCATGTTACTACGCTAAAAGGGTGGGAACAGGAAGTTTTTATTAAGGAGCTTCAAAATGTGGTTTTACTTAATTTCATTATGTCAAAATAAAAACACTTAATCTTTTAAATTTATACGACATTTTAAAGTATTTCAAGCATCAGATTTATACTATATGGACACAAAAAAATTATATAATGGAAGATAATAAACGTCAGAATACTTTTCAGCCAAAATACCTCAGTATCAGCGAGTTAAACATAAACAGAGCTTTCTTCAGTTAAAAAATGACTGTCGATGACCATAGTAATTGATCCTGACTCTTGACTTCCGTAAGGTAAGTATGATTCAATTTATGCTTACTTCTGGAAAGTTTACTAAACTGAAACTAATAACATTTCAAAATAAATTTACAAACTGCTCTAATGTATTGCAAGATACCATGAGGTATACTTATAAAGAACTGTTATGGAGTATGTATATAGAAACTCGTTGAATATAAATTAATTCAATCATTCATATTTATTTTACAACTTTTTGATTTTTGAAAAATCTTTATTACTATAGGTGTCATGATTCTTATACCATCATAACATACTAGACTTTATCATAACTTCTCTTGAAATTAAAAAAAACTTTTATTAAAACTCAAATCCTATCGCACGATCCGTACCTTTTTGTCAAAATTGTAAAAAGATTCTTCAACTTTCTTGAATAAATAAGTTTAAATCAACGTATACTGTTTGATAATATCGTAGGCCGTAGAAATATTCTACAAAATATCTAACTTATTTGACCCGATACAGATGAGAGTAAATTATAAAAACCTTTTCAACATCTAAGTCATGACAGTCTACTTGACGAATACAAGTATGGAACTTTCTGCGAAATGATTATGAATGGTATGAATAATAGGGTGATGAAATAATTGCGATTAATATTATTTATGATATAATGAGATAATAAAGTAATACAGCACACAAATTCAAAAAATTATTGAAAGAAAGTAAGAGTTTGTAGCGAATAAAAATAGTTTTAATAGATTGTTAAGTATTTATTTACCTCTAAAATATGCGCGTAACGTTTATTTTTCCAAAAATTTTGATAACTAAGTTTAAAAATAATATTTAATAATTATTCAGCACAGTACGAGCATAAAGTTTTTGAATGAACTGAAATGGATCGTGTTCTGGAGTACCAGTACTCGCATAAGACTTTTCAAATTCATGCATTGATATTGATATTATTCATGCATTACAATTTTAACTTGATGTTTTTAATAGTAATCAGTTTAATACGGTTGGTCATTATTTAACTAGAAAATTTTTTTGTTTTTAACACAATTTGTAAAATGAGTCATAAGCATTCTGATTCCTACCGTTTTTGCGAAAAAACAGAACTCTCCTACTTTTTCGAAACGTGTTCTTTCAGGGTATAATTTTGAATACTTTAAATTATAAAGGTAATAAATAATTTTTTCTGGAAATTAATGAACAATACTCAGAAGGTATCTTAATTCTCACAATTGAGTCTAGTATTTGTATTACCCTGATGTTCAGTATTTCATCGTAGTCATCGAAACGTTTTAAAGTATAATGTATTTAAAGATAAGAAGTGTTTGAAACATCATCCCGATAGGAAATCGTACCTTGGCTGTAACGGGGGCCTAGCTAGTAGTGCATTATGCCTAGCTATACGCCACCGTTACAGCCACGGAACGATTTCTGATTGGGATGTGTTAAGACACTCAAACTTTCCCCTATCGCGGCCAACTCTGGGTGACTTCCAACCATAAAGATATTACTAACAGAGTAGGGGAGTGAGTAGTACTCACTGAGTACCTAACGCATAAGTGTAACTGTGTCGTTGGAAGAGAAAAACAGAGAATTACGAGATCTTTCAGATCTTTCATCACCCCACCTACAAGTATGAAAACTTTGGAAGTATATCTATACATAGAGGATCACTTAATTTTCTCTCTCTTTCTACTGACTCTATTAGTAAAATCTCTATGCTTCGAACAGTTCTAACTTGGCAAGAGCTCAGGACAGAGGGCGCTAGGGAGAAGATAGCTCCCAGCCAATCTCAGCCGTCAGACAAGGGTTCTGAGTCCGGATTGGCTGGAGTCTTTCTTCAGTGACTCCCACTTATCGGCTCTGTTTTACTAGTTGTCATAATATTTCGATTAAGTGCTGTAAGTACTTGAACGCAAGAACAAAATTGGATACCTTATTATTGTAAAAGCAGCAGGTAAAGTGTAAGCTGGGTCAATATCAACACGATTGCGAGGTAATTTTTTATCGTAATCACTAACATTAATACTGTGTTTACTATTAATTGCATTTTTGATTTTTGAATCTTAGTGAAAGAAAACACTGCTTAATACAGTTTTAGGGATTTATAACAATCATCCACAACTTTTACAAAAATTTTCAGTTGTTTACCTACATTAACTACCATATTTGAGAAAGCGTTGTATTTATTGGTGTTAGTGAAAGAGTTTTTTT